GTTTTGTTGCCTTCGAAAGCTTAGACGCCTTTGACAGGTCCTACTTTTTTTACTGTTATGACCGTTTTGGTAGGTTACAAAAACAACAAAAGACCAAGGACGGTTTGGAAAGGAACAACAAAAGAAAGGTTTGTTTCGTAACAAAAGAAGAGGAAGACTTTCAGGTTAAGCTATTTCGACTCGACCACTTTAATTGGAACAACGCGTTTTTTTTTTTAAGTTCCACGAGACGGTATGTTTCGTAGAAAATACCCAGTTCCGTAGAAACGTTTTGCAAAAAACCAAACTGTTCAAGATAAAAGTAAATAAATTGCTGAGAAATTCGTTCATATTGGATCAATCAAAAATTTCGGTCAGATCAGCAAAATTTATATTTTTTTTGCCGATGGATGAAAAATGTTGCGTTGATCAAAAACAACATCCGTCGTGGTGGCCATTGTCGTGCATATTTTGGTTTCAATGCATTCGCGATTGTTCTAGATCCAGAGGCGACAGCTCAGATTATGACGCGAAGGCCTTAAAGAGGATTTACGGGAACGCATCGCGCATGTTTTCGTAAGACGCCCTAAAAAGAGCTCAAAATATTTTCCTAGGCTCTAAAAAGCTGTTTAAAACCGGAGGTGGGCACCGGTAGACGAGTGACATTAAAACCGTTTAATGATAATGCGCATTTTAGTGTTTGTCGACCCGCTTGAATAAGCGTGACTTGACGCCTATTATCAAGTTTAGACACCCCTGTTTTAATTTCCCCCAACCCTACTTAAGATCACCCGTTCGTTGATCTCGGTTAGTGTATTCCAGGCTCCGTAGTATTTTCGTTATTGTGGGCTGTAGTGTACTCCTCTAAATTTTTGGACCTCTGCAGACATAACCCACGGAAAATGATACATAGATTTAGTGAGGCTATATTTTCAACAGAACACTTTTTTTTTAAGTTCCGTCGAAAAATTCGATTTTGAGACTTAGACGGAAAACTCCCTTCAGTGGAAGATTTTTGAGAATAAATTGCATGAAGCAATCGTAGTTCGTTGTCTTCCTCATAAAAGAAAGTAATTACATTTCAATGTTACCAAATTTCCCCTCACATATTGCATTTTCACCGAGAGACACTTCGGCATTTCTAAATGAAAATTTCACTGATTTTCCCTCCAATCTCACGTAACGATCAAAATAATTTTGAACAAAAATTGCACAGGTAAAATCTTGTAAAAATTGAATTGTTTTAACCCATTTTGCAAATTACGTTGCTTCTCGTGGGGAACGAAAAATTGCGTCACCATCTCTAATTTTTACGAGTACATAGCAGGTAGCATTTTGTCCGAAATTGTTGCGTGTGATGAAAGGAAAAATCAGTGAAACTTTTAGATCGAAATTCTGTACAGTTTTCAGCTAAAAAGATCATCTGCTCAGTGAAATTTTCGGTGTACTTAAAAGTTATACTTTCAGTCGTCTGGGCGAACGACGAACTGGATCACGTAATTATCATGTCATGAGAAAAACCTCTCACGAGGTTGGATGAGAGTAAATACTCCAGGCTTTTTTTGACCTTCTGGAGTCAAAGTAGGGGAAAAAGTGCAATTAATTGCCGGCATTTAATGATGTTTACAATCGTTCCGGAGTGATTGCTTCATTTCAATTTTCGGTGCGTGGCCTAGCTCTCTGCTGCAATAGGGAAACTTCCTCGATAACTCATTATTTTGAACGATTGTTAGTGTGTTGGCCTTTTTTCCTCACTTCCTTATCAACGCAGGAGGGAAAAAATGCAATTAAGTGCCGTTTAACACTTATAGTTGCTTACAATCGTCATAGATTGATTGCTTCATTTCAACTTTTACGCCGTAACCTCGCTTCCTCCAAACTTTTAAGGGAAAATCTCGGAATAACTCATTATTTTGAACGAGTTTAAATGAACGAGTGTGATCGGAAATTACCTAACTACACCAAACGTGGCCTGATTTATTCTTATGATTTATTACTTTTCTATCAGAAAATTAAGTAAGATAGTTAAGCAATTTATCTAGAGAGATCATCATTTTGAGCATCTTAGGCTATTAATGCTTTTACGAAGAGCGCCTTTCTGAAATTTCGTAAATAAATTCTTCATAATCTGAGGAAAATTCAGGAAAATTTTCATTTCAGGGTATTATATCGATTAGCTCTCCATTAAAAAATGAAATATGAGAAAAAATTGGGCAACATGAAATGTGGTTATGATGATGCTAGCTGAAATTATCCGATTTGGCCATTTTTTTCACCTCCCAATCAAAACAGGGAAAAAGTAGAAAATCAAATGCCGGTAAGCACCTCATTTAGCATTTACAATCGTCATAGAGTGATTGCTTCATTAAAACTTTTCATCGCTCCTCCAACTCAAAAGCTTGTCTAAATTCCACGTGAGCCCTAAAGAGCATGGAGCTTTATGGACAACAGGGTTCACGTGACAATCGTGATACGTCAGAGGAGCGACGTTATGGTCCACGACCTTTCTATGATAGTACTTTTGAGGGGAACTTTCTGGCTAAATTGAAAAAGCGGGTTTACGTAGCCATTGCGGATTTGGTTCGTGGTTTTTCGAGCGTTCCCCGTGTCTGCGTCGGGCGCGGAGCTTTCGTCGCGCACTCCGCGGCTGAAATTTTCGAATTTGCGGTTCGCTGGAAACGGGACGTTTTCTTGCGTCCGCTTCGTTTCGGTGGCTTTGAAGTGGCTTCATCGGCGACTTCGTCGACTCGGCGAGCCGTTTGCTGGCCTACTTGGAAAGGCTCCCAGCTTATCTGTGCGAAATTGAAAATTATGCAAACGCGCCGACTTGGCCATCTCACAGTTTCTAGCCCGCGCTCATGAATAATCCGCAACTCCTCGAAAAAGCGAAAAGGAGCTAAGGAAGAATGCCGTATGAGCCCCCAGACGTTGCCAAATGTCCTTCAGTAAAAAACAAATTTATCAGGAAAATTGTGAATATTTTCCTTCAAATTTTTCACACAATTTTGCTTGTAATTTGAACTAATGCCGCAATCACACGCTGAATGTGGGAGCTGAATGTGGCTTGAATGGGGAAGTCATCGGCCCGATGCCTGAATTTTGCTTGTGACGCGCAAAATTCAGCAACGATTCTCAGCAACCATCGGACTAACGTTGAATTTGTCTGAACTATTCGAGTAGATTTAATACACATCTGGATGAAAATAACTCGAATTTGCTAAATTTCAGCTGTTGGGCGATGACTCTTGACTTCCACATTCAGCTGCTATATTCAGCGTGCGATTGCGGCATAAAATATCTGAAACATTTCAAGGGTAGAGTCCTTTTATACTCAGAGTTTAGATATCTCGATTATCAGCTGGGCTGGACTGGCCATGGTGTCACAAAAGTCGGCATCCAAACGAACGAAATTGAGGGATAAGGATAAGGAATCCTGCTATGCATGTCTGTCATCCAAAAATAACATCAACAAAACTGATCAATTAAAAATAGAATGAGATTGGATTGTGAATAATTTATTAATCATTTTCATTTTGACCAATGGCAATAACAATTTACTCTTGATAAAGCAGAATTAGGGTAATATTTTCATTATTTTTATCCACATTCGAGCCACCGCCATCTTGGTGCACTCTCTCGTGACTCCACGAGCGAGAACCAACCAGAATTGGATTTTTTTTAGGCCACTTTCAGCCCGACCAAAATTGAGATGTCGTAACTCTGGGTGTAAAGGGACTCCATTCTAGGGGAATGAAAGGAAATTTTCTTCAAAAATACATGTTTTATCCGGTGAAGTTTGGCAACTCCCGAATGTTCATACGGCGTTTTGTCTGAGCACGGCAGAGATCTGGAGACGTTCCGGCCCGGCTCCGAACCGCGAGGGAGAAAAAATTGTGCGGGTAGAGAAACTGTTTACGACGATGGGTTTTTGAAGCGTTCGCCGTTCCTAACGTCGAGGTATAAATTTCAGTTATTGCGGCTGTCCGCAACTTCGATGCAGGCGCAGCTCTCAGTTGAACGCATTTTAATCAAAAGGAACTATAGCCAATCTGACGTGAGCCCTCAGGCCCATAGGAGCAAATGCATGACAAGGCTCATGTCATATTGGATATAGGTCCTTTTGTTAAATGCGTCCAGCCCTGCTACGAATCGATACGCCAGGATTCTTGATCCCGCAACAGCGCTCTGATATCCGATCCTAAGTACGCGATTCCTACTGCACCTTCAAAGGACTCGATTTTTAGTCCCGAGTCCGTTATATTCAAATCATTTTTTCTAACGCAATCAGTCAAACTCAAACACGAGGTATTCTAGAGATAGCTCTGACGATATTCAATTGATGTAACCGGGTCAGAAGATCATTTCCTGTAGGAATCCATCAATGGCATTCGAGCTACAACTCCTATTTTTCGCCTGATGAAAACCTTCGAGTAGTTGACCGAGTAAGTTTACCGTAAGTTAAAAAGAACACGTTTTGTGTGTTAATTAGATAGCTGGATGCACCGTTCGTCTGTCGTCGTTATTTGATGTGTACAGTGGCCATTCTTGGGAGTTGAAAACACTCTTTTTCTTTTTAGTCCATTTAAATGTATATACGTAATACACTCCAGGTAGAGTATGGCTGCCTTACCTAGGATCGATATATGGACGTATTTGGGTTAGCTTGTGTCTCTTATAATGACTATAGCAATATCAACCGAAAGTAAGTCAAAGACTCAGATATTTCGAAATTGAATCAGTGAGAACGAAAACACACCAACTCGAAATAAGACTCACACAAAACTGTACAGTAGATGAAGGTATTAATCCAAGAAAAAGATTTTTGATGCCGAAATACAAGCATTTACGGACATTTTGAAGGTCCAAGTTGGAATAGATGCGCTAACTTCAAAGACTTTTATAAAGATTGACCGTCTTTAATGAAAATGAGCATTTTTGAGTTACCGAGTTGGTGTGTTTTCGATATCACTGATTCAATTAGAGCAGCTGATGAATCATAAGATTAGGAAGTGTGTACTTACTTGTAAAAGTCATTGCGGCAGAAGAGTTTATTCTCCCTGGAAAGACACTTTTCGGAGAGAGTGCAGCCGCAGATGTAACAGCGGACGCAGACAGCGTGCCACGGTCGGTCGAGAACGTGACATAGGAATTTGTCCAAAATGGGCTTATCACAACCAGCACAAGTTACAATCATGGCACTGTTCACCGCCGGGCTCCGACCTGTCGGAAACAACAAAAAATATCACTCAAATTTTAGTTTGGAACACGCAGCAGCTTTCGATTTTTATCAGTTTCCATGCACTTAATTTTCATATAAAAATTAAGGAAGCAATCACAAAACATATTTTAATGAAAATAAAATTTAAAACTTTAATCACCGAGAAGAGACCTTGATCAATCGCTTGAACAACCAACAATCAATATAAAAACAACCTCAACTGTGATTTGACCAGCTACGTTGATTTCAGTTTAACTAGGGGGCACAACCCCTGACCACTTCGCGGTGCACCCCCCAAAATGCTTCGCGCCTCCGCGCGTATTACGCGTCATTCTCATGATTTACATTGTAGAGTATGATGCGATAGCGGAAATTTTGCATTGACTTATACCAATGCAAGAATCACGGGAAAATATCCTCTTTGTGAGTCAAATTTTGAAACTTTTCGATAAATTCTGCTTATTTTGCATGGTATTTTGATAAGAATACATATGATACGATGCATCAATTTTTGTCCAATAGTGATCTATCACATTGTCTACATTTAAAAGGGACAATTTTGGATGTATTCAATGTATGAAATACAGGAAAATATCTTCTTTATGAGTCAAATACTGGAACTTTTCGATAAATTTTGCTTATTTTGCATGATATTTTGATATAGGGAAACTTTTGATACAACGCATCAATTTTTGCCCTATCCAGTAATCCACCATATTGCCTACCATTTAAAAGGGGCAATTCTCGACTTTCAATTAGATTTACGCACTGGAAAAAAACACATTGGATCTACAGTCCAGACTCTTAAAAACATCGACAAGAAAAAATAATCTTGATTCAATCGGATTTTTGCTAAAATCAAGAACCATGCCTCTTAGTTTGAGCGGAATCCCTTTTGATTTAACCTTAAATCTGAATGAATCAAGAGTATTTTTTCTTGTCAATGTTTTCAAGAGTCTGGACTCTAGATCCAATGTGTTTTTTTCCAGTGCGTCATGAACATGACCGATCCTTGATTTGCTATGTTGTTAGTTTATTTTCGGAAGTAAGGAAGTAAACAATGCACCTTCCGTGCAAACCACCTAAAACGCGATCGCCGTATACCACACAATAATTAGACGCGCCTGGCCCGCGCAAGTAACCGTCTCCTAACATTATATAAGGGCTTACTTTCATATTCCATCAAAGGTTATTTAGTTTCCGATGTACCTCCGAAATTATCCGACGGCGAGAAAGATCGGAGCTCGGTGCGCGCTGCGCGTGCGTCGGAAAATAAAGGAGCTGACGGGCTCCGAAACGAGGCGAAAAAATCGAAAATGGGAAAGTTACGAAAAAGCGGGTGCGTGCGACTGTGATTGACGTTGTCTGATGCGTGTGACAATCGATGTTGTCACCTGCACCGTCGTCGTCGAGAAACGTGATCAACTCCCCCGAAACCGACGCACAGTGGTTCGAGTCGACAGGAGGGATCGGACAAAATTCGGAAACTTTAAACGCTTGTAACTCCGTTCATTCAAAACTTTGAGGTTCTAAAAGTGGTTCCATTGGTTTTCTCGTAAAATTTTCTTCCAGAACCACCCCTCGAAATTTAAAATATGACGATATAAACATCAAAATTTGCAGTTTTAGTAAAAAATTTCATGTCCGACGACTAAATCCACTGTGCGACGCGACGACGACGGCGACGCTCCGAGAAAAAAAATTAGCGAATTTTCACCCGACGCCCGAAGCAGTGCCATCGCTAAATGCGGGTTTTGTAAGTTCGAGCTATAGTTTTTTTTTTACCGTTTCGACGCCGTCGTTTTCATGACGGTTCGTGACGTGCTGACATTCGAGATTGAAGGTGCTGTTATGTTTTGAAGGTTTTGCAGCGGTGGTGCAAGAGAACGGCACGTTATGCGCTGCAGATCGACTTAAGATGCGTTTTTCTCCTAAGTTGCCGATCTTATTATGAGAATTTTGTGAAAGTGTAAGGTTTGCAGCTTAGAGGAATTTAGTGCTAGAATTTGAATAAAGGAAGAATATGCAGAGCTAAACAAAGCAAGAGAGATACACAGGGTTTTGAGTTTTGACACTGTCTTAATCGTATTTCTTTCTTATTTGTTTACATATTTATTGGGAGGGCCACACATGCACAACTAAAACTACTTTTGGAATTAATGGTTGTGGAAATCGGAAGTTAATTTTTATATTTTTTTGTTGGGTACACCACAGGGGCGTCATTTTAGTTGACTCTTAGAGAAAGGGCGAGAGCTGTTGAAAGGAAAGAAAATTTACATTAAAGGGGGGGGTGATACTTTGAAAACAATTTAAAAATGCACTAAAAGCAATCGAAATTTGTCAAAATTGCCGATATCAATTCTAAAATGCCAGGGGAGGAAGAAATTTCTCACTCGAAAGACTTTTTGTGCCGCAGCCCCCTGAAAACGAGCGCCACAAGCTCCAATGTCGAGAGACACTCATGAAAGCGAAACCATTTTTGCGTGAACTATTTGAAAAAGCTGTGAGTAAATAACTATGTAAATTGTCATTTACTTACTTCAAGTGACAGGGTTTATAGAATTGGCGGTTTTTTATCCTAACTAATCAATTTTCAAACGAGGCAGACAAAACTAACTGAGAATAGATTTGATATAGCATTGCAGGAAAAAAGATACATATTAACTTCCGATTTCCACAACTATTAATTTCAAAAGCAGATTCACTTTAGTTTTGCATGTGATTAAAGAGAGAGAGATACAATGTGCATGTGTGCATGTGTTCTGCATGTGTATGCCTCAGTTGCCAGTGAGTAGTTGAAGCTCATGAGCACCATTTAATTTATCGCGAGATTGAAAATGCGGAGGAAAAAAGAAATTTCTATTTAAGTTGCATCCTTTTTCAAGCACAGATTTGCGTTCACCTCGTCAGGAAAAGAATGAAAAAAGAGCTCACTTGTTTGTCACGTTTTTCGAGTTGGGGCACTGATGAACTCACAAGAGCCTTTGAATAGTCCAACTAAGGTTTGATGAGTGCGTAAAGACATGACATGTAAAACGCTAGGTGCTTGAGTAGTCGTTTAAAAAAAGAAGAAAAAAAGTTGAGTCTCGACATTTTTGTCAGGGCACACCGTTCTGTCGTCGTCATTCGGTCACACACGACATGTATGTGCCAGCAAGCAGTGGCAAGACTGATGGACGTTGCTCATATTGACTTATTAGTCCAGTCCATTGGCATTTTTCTGGAAAAATCAATACATGAAAGGTTTCTTTGCGGAACCATGTTGCGATAGGCTACCAGAACAACTTATCAAAAGTTCACCGAAATCGGCTGGGCGCTAAGTCCACCATCATGAAATAAGGGAGGGACGAAGGGCCAAAATACGTCACTGGCGCTCCGTTTTTCACGTTCATCTCAAAAACGATCAATCCTAAGAAAATTACGAAAAATGTCTTCGAACTTTTCTTGAAGAACACAATATTTCCTATTTGAAAAACTATATTGATTATTTTGTGACTTCCGGTTTGAGAGATATCGTGGTAGTGGTCTGCGGCTAGTAAAGTTGAATTCCGCTTAAAAAGCTTGCTCTGGTCGCCTATCGCAACATTATTCCGCAAAGAAACCTTCTATATACTGTTTTCCTAGGTAACCCTTTTTTAGAGCTAGATCGACTGGATAACATACGTATGAAACATAGAAATACATCACAACAGACTAACTTTCATAGAATCCATTATTTATAATAGTTTTAAATGCAGGGCAGTGTTGCCAGCCTCCTGAAATCGTCATTGGAAGCACGAGCATGATCGCATGCTCGATGCCTGATTTCCTTGCTAAGTAAAAACGCCGTATGAACCTTCAAGTGTTGCCAAATTTCCTTTGATAGAGCACAAATTTCCTGGTAAACTTATAAATATTTTCCTTCCAGTTTTTCAGATAAATTTGCTCGCAATTTCGCACCTAAAGTTCCTAGAGGTTTCAACGAAAAATATTCATAGCTCTCCTTAAAAAATAAGCATTAGATCAAAGGAAATTTGGCAATTCCCGAATGTTCATACGGCGTTTTTCCTTAGCACGGCAGCATGCCCGCAGTGGCGTGGCGTGCTTTGAGATAAATCGACTGATCGGCCATTTAAACTATGGTAAAGAATCGATTATTAAGGTGTTGGCTGCGAACACCCTGTTTATCGATCCTTTTCCATAGGTTTAAATGGCCGATCAGTCGATATATCGCAAAGCACGCCACGCCACTGATCATGCCCGATGCTCCCACCCGCGGATGGACGCGCGCCGCGCCTGACCAGAGCAGGGCGGCCAACCTCCGAACAATACAGATCCGTATCATGCTCATGATACTTGCCCAGTTTTCAAGAACGGAAGTGAGCATTGTTGGGTGGGACTCCGGCCCCCCGTCCGATGGTATTATGGCTCACGCCAGGTAAGCACCGACTATCCAGCTCTCATCATCTTGATTCCGATGGCTTGCCCTGATTTCCAGCCACCCTCGCCCTTTCAGCCAGGCTCATCCCGTGAAGAATGATTCTAGGTAAGATATTCCGATATTCGAAAGGAATCACGCGCGTGCATAATAAACAGAGACGAATCCGGCAATTAGGCAACGCCGGATTTCCTCCATTTAAACCTATGCTAAATAATCGATTCCTATTGGAGCACCTGGCCCCTTCAAGAATCGACACATTTCCATAGATGTAAATGGAAAAAAAACGATGTTGCCACTTTGCTAGATCCGCCAATGGTAATAAATCAACAAAATGCACAACAAGCGACGCACAGTTCTGAGTGATGCCCAAAAATACACTTTAAAATTACTGCAGAACTTCTCACACAATAATCTAAAACCTATTCTAATTTCTAAGGCACCAAGTCTGGACGACATTTTGAATTTAGAGACCTTCATTTCTGGCACATGTACGGAAAATTGCATTAAGGGGCTAATATTTCTGATCCATCTGTATAAAGGCACCTATCTGCACAGAGGAACGATGGGTACACACGTTGTTTC